CTTTTGTTATAACTGCAATATTTTCAGACATTCCAAATGTCCATAATGTACAGTAAATATCTCATCATATTACAGTTATGTACCTCAGATAAACTGCATTTGTTTTTAAACTTAAAATTACAAATTCAGTAGTAGTGCCTTTTCTTTATTTAATAAGAAATCGGTATTGTTGCTGTGGGTTTTTTTTTATATTTTCCATTGCATGGGTTTATAAGGGTTTATCATGGGTTGAAACCTCACAAAATCACGACAGATCAGAAGCAAAAAAGGAATGTTTTATACCAAGAATTTTGCTTCCGAAAGGAAACTTGTTTCCTCCACCGAAACCCACAGACCGTCTTTATCAACAATCACATAAATCAATCAATTATTAAATTGTAATAAAATATTAGTCATGTTCCACCATCTGATACTTCTAGTCTTGCTGCACGTAGCCCAGTGTGATACAAGTTACACATCTTATCAACTGGTAGATCTAATGAAATAATCAACCCTTAAACATATGAGGCATTCTTTCTTGGTCAAACCAAATCACCTTCTACTTAACATTCAAGTAACAAACAAAAATGACACATCTATAGTAATAAACATTTCTTTAATGAGACACAGTCTAAACTAAAGGGATATTTCCCTGTTTACATTAATCTAGTAACTTGATGTCTTGTTTAACAGATAAAATACTTTGTGAAACACTATATTGAGAGTTAAAAACAAATAATATTCTCCAAAGAAAAGTGTTTTACTAAAAACATACAAAATTATCAAAAATACTTTTTTATCTGTGAATTATAGCTATTACATTACCAGAGATCCTCTGGTTGACCTTTATTATAACCCACTAAAAACCGAGATATAATCATATAATAAAATGTTTTAAAACATTCAGCAGATAGCGATAAAAATGTTGTATAAAAATATGTATGAAAAGAATAAAATGCCATTTCAAACAAAATCATACTTCAGCTTCAAAATGAAACTCTAACTCCTTAGGTATTGATATGTTCTGTTGCTGAGCAAAGTGTTTAAGCTCTTCATATTTCTCACGTATATTATCTATATCTTCCTGAATTTTTTTATTTTCTTCTTTTAGTTTGGTGATTTCAATAAATGTGTCATTTTTGTCTTGCTGCAATTCATCATTATGTTCCATTCGTTTATTACGACAGCTAGCTGCGTAACCTCGATTCTTTAGTGTTCTTCGACGCTGCTTCATTTTCGTAATTTCTGCACGACTTAAACCACACATCTTAAGATGGCAATTCAGTTCTCTTACAGAAAATCTAATAAGTTCATCATCATTAATTGATTTCCTCCTCATTCTGCTACTGCTGCTCTCAGTCCTGTGATCAATGTCTTCCTTTTAAAGAACAGCAAGCAAAGTCACGTATATACATTACAATAAAATATTTTCACAGATACTTATTAATATTTCATTATTAACAAAGAAAAACTTTAATAACATAATGTTTATACTTATACATGGTTTATATTACAGAAGAATTAGACACAAAAGATGCTTAGATCATTAGCTAGTGAGCTATCTGGTTAATTAGTAGTGTAAAATGGTTGGAAAAGTAAACTACAACATTGGTAGTAAATTGTTTATGACTTGGGATCCCAGATTCAGACATCTTTTATATACATATATATTTTTTTTATAGTTTTCACCTTATGGAATGGTTTGTTTAACAACATGACGTGTGCTGTTAATTTAACTTTTTGTTGCATAAGCTACAAGTATAAGAAAGGTTTTGGATTCATTACATAAGTCAGTAACTACTACTCATTTGGAGTAATTTTGTTTTCAGCTCCTTTGTATAAGAAAGAGCACCGACTTGTTTGAAAGGGTTCATTCAAAGGAGGAGCTATGAGCTGTAGGATAATTCCAGAGTTGTTATATGAGGATAGGTTGAAATCTCTTAATTTGTTCTCCCTTGAGAATAGAATGGTCAGGGGTGATCTGATTGAGATATTCCAAACTAAGGGAATTAATAAAATTGAGGCATCAAATATTTTTTTCATGTTTAATTCTATGGGCAATAGGACAAGAAGTCACAAATTTAAGGTTTGGAATGTTCAGATACATCTGTCATACAGTATTATCTCCCCAACAGGATGATAAATCTGTGGAATAAACTGCTATTTAGAGTATTAGTGGATAGATGTTTAAGAAAGAGATTGGTGATTATTTGGAAAGATTAGGACTAGATTTAGCTATTAGTTTTCTTTCTGTTGAAGACTGTTAGAAGTCGAGGAATCCTTAATGGGTCAGATGTCCTCTTCATGCCCATGATTCCACATGTTGTTTACTTTAGCTGTTTCCATTGGTGGGTGTTAGATGGCTTCAGTTGGCTGAATTACTTTCACTATTTTACTAGCTATAATATTTTTTGTGTACATTCTTTATGATAAACAGTTTGTCTTATGTAACTGACAATGATACATTATAACTTATGTGTAGGTTTCATTTGGAGTATTGTGTTCAGTTTTGTCTTTTGGGCTCCTAGCTTTAAGAAGGACACTAAATTATTGGAAAGAGTTAAAAGAAGGGTTATTCGGATGACACCTGGGATGGAAAGATTATCATACAAGGACAGATTAAAATCTCTAAAGTTGTTTTCTCATGAAGAAAGAAGAATTAGAGGGGATTGTTAAGGAAACTGATAGTGTATCATGTTTTTTGTACTTAATGATGAAAACAGTACAATAAGGAGAAACAATGTTAAGATTTGGAAGACACGCCAGGCTAAAGTTAAGACACTAAGTTTTATCTAACATGGTGACTGGTTTATGGAAATTTGTTTCCATCAGAAATAGTGGAGACTAGTGCTGTACTAAAGTTCAAGAAGAGAATAAAAAAATTTTTGAGAAAAAAAAAAGGATTTATCTTTTTACTTCATCCAAATGGTGGATGTGCATGGGGCAACTTTGAAAGGTCAAATTGCCCCTTGTTATCCATATGTTAACTTGGAGTTAGAACCAAAAATACCAACAGCAAAAGTATCCAACTGATGGAACAATGCATTCTTTATCTTTATAATAACATAAGAAAGATGTATTTAACTAGCTATACTCATTACTGGGATCAACCCAGTTTTAATCTAAGTAGATAGCTTGTTTTGATCAGAAGTTAATATTAATTACTAATATCAATTGGTTTACCACAGACATAATTAGTGTCATGGAAGCTACAAGTACAACATAAGTAGTGTATGGTATAGGCCTAGCTACTGATTAATTCAATATATGCATGTTTTTGAGAATCACGATAATGACATTAATGATTAATGTGGTGTTATACTTATAGCATTATTAATATCATAATGTACAAGTATCGTTAAAAATATTAATACTACTAACAAAATTTGTTAGGCGTTTAGACTAACCTTAGCATAAAAATTCATGCCCATTGTCAAGGTATATGATCAATGTAAACGTAGCTTCGTAAGACGTACAGAGACAGCGGGGATGAATGTTATACTAAGACTAAACTAAATAAGTTAGTCTAACACGTAACAGTTACTCAGCACTCTTGATCCTGGTTGTAGTAGTACTAGCAGTAGCGGTATTCAGTAATACTAATATTATAGTAATAATTACCACCGTCGTCAAATTTTGCATTCTTTTGTTGACCTATTTTCGTCTACAAGCATCTTCCATCATGATTTTCGAAGCTTTAATCAGTATTAACTATATTATAACTTTGCTAGTCACTTAATTATACCTAATCAAACATCTTATTTAATCTTAAATTTAATTTCCTAAGTAACAAACTCACGTAAACACACGAACTTGGCAATACAATTATCATAAGGCTCCCTCTGCACGACACAAGTCTAATTAAAAAATAACACCTATCGTTCAGGTTTTTTGAAAGAAAAAATTAAACTATCTATTTGCAACTGCGTTAAACTCAACAGCTGCTCATTACGAAAGTCAGATTATAATGCACTTTTTATTTTTCATATTCCTCTTCATTAGTCTATCACAGATTTTATATCACAGACGTTTAAAAATAACATTTCAGATCTATCTTATGTCTGTCAGAAGACCCTATACAAGGGGTTTTTCGTTCAATACCACAACTTGTCAGCTAGGCTGGGCCAAGTGGGCAACCAAAAGTCAATCTAACGTGAAATTTTATATGCGGTACGAAATCTGGTGGAGGAATAAAACCAATGGGTCTGTGGTATTCTAAGGTGAACTGATTACCTTTTAACTAAGAATAGCAGTAACAATAACAAAAAGAAAGGCGAAATATGTGATGTAGACTTCAAATTGAATTTTCAACTTTGACCGACTTGAAGAAAGAGACTGAAGAAGGTGTAAAGAAAAAGTGGAAGATATTGCTACGACAGCGGAAGTCACGTGACGCTGCTAGCGCATTAGCCCTGGTGACGTTTGCGAGGAGTTTCTCGAATGATCATGAATTTCCTAGTGCGTTCGAGACGCCCTTTTCTTTAGTATATAAGCCTGGCAGAGAAGCCAGCGATAGAAAAACATCAGAATAGGAAAGATATCCAGGACCGTCAATGAAGGAAAGTAAGCACATTTCACTTCTTATAACCAACTTTAACTACACATAATGACACTAAACATACTACACATCAACATACAAGGTGGTCTAGCACACAAAAAATACGAACTAAATGAATTGATTAAAAAACACAACATTAATGTAATTAGTATACAAGAAACACTACTGACGGAAGGCTCACATTTTAACATACCACGATTTAAATCAATACATAGATATAAAACAACTGGTACACGAGGGACAAGCTTATTATACAAAACAGAACTACATGTAACAATACCACAAATAAACATAAAATCCTAAAACGAAATTATTTTATGTAATATCCACACTAACAGGACACCAGCAACAACCCTAGTAAGTATATACGTTTCACCTAAAGACAAACCAGACATTCAAACATTAAACTCGATTTACTCACAGTTACCGAAAACAATAATAATAGGTGACTTAAACAGCAAACACGTAGATTTTAATTGTAGAAAGGCCAAAAGGAACGGAGCAATTCTAAATAATTTTATAATCAATAACGACCTAACAACTATCAACGACACAACAATGACACACAAAGGATCACAAGACATTCACGATTTAGCTATTTTTCCCAACAAACTCGTAGGTCACACCAGCAACTTTAAAGTACTCCCTAACATAGGTAGTGACCATGATCCGATAAGTTTTACACTATACTCACGTAATAGAAACACCCCAAGTCTTCAATCCATCATTTACGAATATTCACCAACAGACTGGGTCAGATTTAATAACCTAATATGTAACAATATTCCAAATATCGAGACGAATATCACATCAGAAACAGATAGTGACAACTACGTCAACACATTAACAACAACAATTAAAAAAGCAATAGAAAGTATCATACCCTCCAAAGTTAGAAACACAAATCCTAGTCACTGGAAATTAACACCAGAAATTTTAAAATAAATCTCCGAACTTAGGAAACTAAGAAGGACATTTATACGTACGCGAGACAAACTAACTAAACGCC